ATTATTCAAAATTAATAATTGTCATATATATGCTAACCATATTAGGTAATTTCGTAACTTTTATTTAAATAGATAATGTACACTATTTATTAATTTCATAATTAATTTAATAAAAAATATAATATATGTTTAGATGGACCAACATTTTTTCTAAGGATTTTATTGTGGAGGTATTAGTGAGTTAAGTCATGGCATTTGAGTCAATATCCAAAAACGAACACAATCGAACCAAAAATTGGAAACAAATCTTAATTTTAAATACCCATTAGTTTTGAAGTATTTGAACTGAAAACAAAAACAAGAAAATATTCAAATATATATAAATATCACATATATAACTAAATATTTATACATATATATATATTTAAAGTTTTTACTAAAATATCAGAAGTGTTTCAAAAATTTATCTAAATTTTTTTGAAGCACTCAAAATTATTTTAAATATCCTTTGAACTATGTGATATTTTACGGAAATACATGATATTTTTAGGTCTGGGTGAAAACCGGGTACTTGCCTTTTTCGCCCTACCTGCTACTCGACTTGCATTGTGCAAGTATTATAATTTTCGGCTTGTACTTGTTTCGATCAAGTACTTAGTTAATCGAGTACTTGCCTATATTTGAAATACTTGTATGTTACCTGATAATACTTGATACTTGTCTACTTGGATTTAAAACTTTAAAATTAAATGTACCAAAACATATAAGTTCAGTTAACATAGAATAAATACTTTTATTTTTCATATACTTGTTATTCTATTAGTATGTTCGAGAAATTTAATTTAGTGAGTGTATATGTTTCATTTGTAATAATCATACATTACATAAATATCTTAAAAATAATATATTTTTTATTTTTGTTAAAATATAGTAGTGAAACAAATATTTTAAAGAGTACATATTTAAAAATCAATATACAAGTAATAAAACAAGTACCAAGCCGAGTAATAAAAAGAATTATGATACTTGATACTTGACTTGTACTTGCAAGTAATATGATTTTCATACTTAGTACTTGATTTGACAATGTCAAATACTTGATTTTTCAAACCGAATACGAACCAAATAGTAAGTACAAACCGAGTAACAAGTATCGGTATCCAGCCCTAGATATTTTATCCAGCCAAAATAATTGGATGAATCAAAACCAAATGAGGCTTGAGTTTTCTGGGTATTAGACTATTGCTAGATTTACTATTTGAACCTAATCAAACTTTAAAACTATTTATACCAATCCAAACCAAAGAAATCGACAGTTCCTAAAATTTATTACAAAAACCTATTTGATACCCAAAATAATCGATTTGAGCTGAACCAATATCCAAAATACCTAAGTGAAATAGTGAACGTAACATGCATATCCCCATGTTGAGTCGACCGCGTGGAGTGAAAAAGTTGAATTTGCATGTGAACTTTAGTGAGTTGCATGTGAACTTTAGTGAGGATCAACAGACACAGAGGCAGATCCATATGTATTGATGGTGGGCAATTGACATCCCTTAAATATTATAAACATCATTTTATTCAGCTATAACATTAAGATTTGGTAGCTCCGATGGTTCATTCTCCTCATTTGACCTCTTGTTATCTGAGTTCGACACCCTTTCGACAATGGTGGAGACAATAAATTCTTTTAAGTGGATCAGTTTGATAACAAATGTATTTTTAAGGGTTATTAAGTTAATTATCTTGGATTTTCCTTTGCAAAATAGATAATTTTTTTTTACATGGATTATCTGACCACTCTGGTTCTATGCTAGTTTCACCACTGTCTTTTAACACTTACATTTTGCTCTTTTTCATTAGACTAAAGCCCATTTAAAATCTTGACCCACCTTTAAAAAATGTCTGGATCCGTCACTGAACAGACCCGTTATCGAAATCCATATATATACGAGGTTCAAAAGTAAAACCCATATATATACGAGGTTCAAAAGTAAAAATTAAAAACATCAACAGTGGCTGAAATTCTCAACTATCGTCCCTCACTTTATTATACTACTATTTTAACAAAATGAATTAAATTTTGTGTTATCAAAATAATACACCACTAACAAGATGACACATGTGTGATTAAGCTTTCTCACTTTGTTGAAAGTATCTTCATGCTTTGTTTTTCTTCTATCATGCTTTCTCTTTCTTCTTTTATTACATTTTTAATTTTTTTAATGTTTAGAGATGAGATGAGATATTTTCACTGTTGCTGATAGGGCTGGGCAAAAAAACCGAACCCGAAAATCCGAACCGAACCCGACCCGATATAAAGGAATCCGAACCGATCCGAATCCGACATAAGTACCGAATAGATCTTGTTTTACGGTATTTCGGGTTATGGGTATTACCCGAACCGAACCCGAACTTAAATGGATATCCGAAAGAATCCGAAACTTTAAAATTCCAAACAAANTAGGGCTGGGCAAAAAAACCGAACCCGAAAATCCGAACCGAACCCGACCCGATATAAAGGAATCCGAACCGATCCGAATCCGACATAAGTACCGAATAGATCTTGTTTTACGGTATTTCGGGTTATGGGTATTACCCGAACCGAACCCGAACTTAAATGGATATCCGAAAGAATCCGAAACTTTAAAATTCCAAACAAACTTGTATCATATCCAATCTAAATTTCTAATATGTTTTCCAAAACAGATTAATATATTATTGAGTACCTACAATAATTAGTTAGGATATAAATAATTAACTCAAATATTTAGTCTAATATATAGTGTTATTTAGTTAATATTTATGTTTATGATTGACATTACATTTGAAGTTAAGTTACGAATAAATTTGTTTTGAAGTTTATATAATATTGTTTTTTTAAAGTTTAAATAGTACTTCTTACATTTATAGAATTGTTCTTAACTTTAATTTTTTATGTTTCATTATGTATAATATTTCGTTCATACAATGTTTTGGTTTGTCATTAATCATGATATGTTTAGTATTGTCACATATAGTTCAATGACAAATCTTATATGGTTGATAGACGAGTTTCACAATATTATTTTGAAGGAGAACAATATGGTTTGTAGAAGCTAAATACACAAATTTAATAAAATGATTGAAAATATAGTGAGTTTAATTGAGTATAAATTAGTATTTTTAGAANATCCGAAACCGAAATTATTTTGAGTTCAACTGGATCTTGGACATGTTACTAAACCCGAACCGAACCCGACTAAACCCGAACCGAATCCGACCCGAATTTTTATAATATCCGAATGGGGTTGAAATTCATGAACCCGAAAACCCGAAACCCGAATGAACCCGAACCGAAACCCGATTGGGACCCCGATTGCCCAGCCCTAGTTGCTGATACTCTAAGAACCTAAAATGTACTTAAAGCTAAGAACATGATTATGGGTTGGGACACTTTTGGGTTTTAAATTTTGTTTTTTGATTTAAAAAAAAAATAGAGAAACTGTAGACCGTCACGTGTCAGTGGGACCTGTAAATCGTTAACGACATCCCTTGGAACGTTTCTTATTTAACAACATTTGGACAAGGTTTTTGAAAAAATGTGATGGGACCTACGCGTAAGAACATTTCCTCCATCAGTGATAATGTTGCTCTAACAAAATGAAATTTTGATACACATACCATGAAAATTTTAACGATATCATCAGCATGAATTTCGTTGACCGTGTACTCTTCGATGACTAAAATAAAAAGAGATAATTGGCTAAAGTGCCCTATTTGACACCTATAATTAGAGAATTACCCATGATGTGACAATCACTTTCCTTTAAACAATTTTGCCCTTTTCTACACCCTCTCTCCTCTCTTTAACATCTCCCCTCTTTTTTTTTTCTCTCTTTAATCCCTAATTATTTTACAAATCTCTATCATTCTATATACAATTAAATTTTAAATTTCATTATTTTTTCATAAGTGGCTTTGAATCCTCAATTTTGACCTTTTTTTTTCTCTCCAATCCCTAATTATTTTACAAATCTCTATCATTCTATATACAGTTAAATTTTAAATTTCATTATTTTTTCATAAGTGGCTTTGAATCCTCAATCTTTTGATGATATCAATTTTCTGGGTTTTAGATTCGACGTCGTGTTAGCGGCTAACAAATATTGTAGACGTAAACAGAAGTGTTATGTGTTAACAGTTATTTTTACGCTTCGCGTTAATAAATGTGTTCGCTGTTAACAAATATTGTAGACGTTAACAGAAGTGTTAACTGTTAACAATTATTTTTACGCTTCGCCGTAATAAATGTGTTGGCTGTTAACAAATATTGTAGACGTTAACAGAAGTGTTATATGTTAACAAATGTTTTTACGTTTCGTGTTAATGAGAGGGAAGAGAAAGAGCATTCTCGGTATTTCTTTGCCAAATGGTTGTGTTAGTGTCCTTCATGTCCAATCAATGGTATTTTGCTAATTTGAGCTTCAAATATGGGTAGTTCACTAAATCACTCAAATAAAAAGCCTATGTAGCGCAGCTAAATTCAATTATTTATACAATGTGTCAACCACATAATATAAACAACTAGACTATAAAACTCGTGTTTCAAAAAAAAAAAAAAAAACTATAAACTCCTGTGTACATGATGGATCTTTCACTTATAAAACCTATTAACACTGAAACCAGACTTTGCTATATAAACTTATTCAACATTCTTTATTTTTAAATTTTGTATCCATTATATAATTTAATTTCGTGAGTTTAAATTTAGAAAATACAAACATATATATGTAGAAAAACCATCACAAGGTGGAAGAACACGAATAAGACCCGCCGGTAGTTCTCAGCTCCGAACAAGGCCAAGGGCTGACTTTGAGCGAAGCTCCAATAACATCGGAACACTTCCATGACCGATACGAGTTCAAGCTTCCATGTAGATTAATCTCACTCAGACAAATCCCTGTCCATTTATTATTATTATTATTATTATTATTATTATTATTATTATTATTATTATTATTATTATTATTATTTTTTTTTTATGTTTGCCAGTTATAGAAGAATTAAGTATATGATCAATAGTCAATACGGTCTATACTAAAGAAAACGTTACCTGTAAAAGGTGACCCCTTAAGGCCTTGAATGGAGCCAGCGTTTTGAACGTTAACCCCCCAAACGTTATTAATATGAATTCCTTTAACGATTGGAAGAGCGTTCGGGTTATAATACGCGTCAGGGTGATCTCCCGTGTCGCCAGCGATCTTGATCCCGTACTTTGCGTTTTCGACATAAACGTTAGATATTTTGATGTTTTTGATGTAACCTCCGCGACCAATGTTTGTCTTGATGTTTACTCCAACGCCCACATTAGAGAGACTGATGTGTTCTGCTACGATGTTCTTGATTCCTCCTGAGGTTTCGCTTCCTATTGCGATACCTGCGTACGGAGAAGATCCTGTGATGCGGCGGATCGTAATGTTTGAGCTTGGACGGCCAAAAGTGATTCCGTACTCGTCCCAACCGCTTTTGATGGCTACAAGGTCGTCCCCTGTTGAGATGTGGGAATCTTCTATGCAGACGTTGTTGCTGGAATCTATCAACAAATTTAGAAAACATCTATGGGTTCAGACACTTTTATCATTACTACTATGAACAAAACCAGTCTTTTTTTTTTGCAAAATTTTGGTGCAACAAAACCAGTCTTAGTATAGCGAAATGAAACCTTGGTTTTGAGCGCTTAAAATTTTAAAAGTTAATACATTAGATATATCCTGAACATGTAAAAAAGATTATTAAAGTTTTTATGAAATTGTTTTTAGCCTTCAAAATCTTGGGACCGGCTGACTGTGAGCTACATTCTCTAGCACGGAATAGCTACTATATATGCACATGCTCATTCAAAAATGTTTCAACTTCCTACGTAAACATGTTCGATATGTTTCTAACACAACAACCAATCTAGTAGTCTATTGTTGATTGAAAAGGAGTTTAGATTAAGACAGAACCTGGATCGATTCCATCGGTGTTGGGAGAATCTTGTGGAGCTAAGATGGTAACGTGATGGATCACAACATTGCTGCCACAGATCAAAACGAGGAACATAGTCAAATACCATCAGAAGAGTAAGATATGTCTATGCTTGGGAAATCAAAAAGGTAGTAACTAGCTTTAGTACCTGCAATAGACAGGGTGAATGTTCCAGAAAGGTGAATTCTGGAAAATAACATTGGAGATTATGATCTCCTTAGAGTTCTTGAACTCGATTAGATTCGGTCTAGTGAACCTTAGTGTTCTACTGCGCCACATGTTCCACCATACTTCTCCTTGACCGTCTATTGTCCCGTTTAGTCCTGTGTATAACATACGATTGCATTGTAATGTCAGGAAGTGATAGCAAACGCTTATCATACAATCTGTTGCTCGGCATGTATTAGGTTACTGTTCATATAAAGTTATGTTTTCACATGCTAAATGAACAATGCAACTCAAAATTACCAAGTTTAATGCTCTATTTCTTCTTCTCAATTAAAAAAGCTAACAATTTCGATAGAGACTAATTCTTGAATACTTAGCTACATTAAAATATTTAAAGAAAATGTGTGCCAATGTTTGATAGGTGGGTATTGATAAGATGGTCCAAAACTCACCAGTGATGACTACATCACGAAGGCCATCGCCATGAATAAAGCTCATATACCGTGCGCCTGGTAACTCCCTCCCTCTTCCATAAGAAGGCAAAGGATCAATCAATGGCCAGTTCCATGTATCCTGAAGTTAGCACACAGATATACCAAAAGGTCACCAAATAATCCACAGGATTCACATTCTGCAATACTAGTGATCAATCCAAATTTTAATATGATCGTGACTTATAAAAACAAAACAATTTACACGCTCAAATTCGGCCTTAAGACAGACACACAAATAAATACACCACAACAACAAGTACTAGAGTTCATAAAAAAAAAACAAGTACTAGTGGTTTTGCTTTCACGCACTTGAAGACAAAATCTAGAAAAAAAAAACTGAATCAGAGGTTTAGCATAAAGCCGCATCCATGTGAGAGTCACTAAATGGACAATAAAACCCAAAACAGTCCACACTCTCAACATTAAAAATACGTTAACAAAGATTTCTTCATTTTAATGTTTTAGCCCATCAGATATTTTTATTTATATGATATACACTAGTCAGTAGAGAATATAAATAACCAAAATTTCGACAAAATTGGTTAACGCCAACGACAAAAATTGCCAGCTATCTATGGGGTCAGCGTTGGAACATAGACATAAAAGCAGCACCCCCACATGCATACAATAACGTTTTTATCCCTGACGGTCCCATCTTGCTCTGCTCGGACCAACTAATACCACTCCCCATACCCAAAATTACCTATTAATTAATTATTACAATACCTGCATGGTTCCCACCTCTTTTTTGCTTCTTTCAAAATTTTACATACAATTACAAACTAACTTGATCAACTCATTTACTTTTTCAGAATTCAGATCCAATTAACCCGTCAAGAAGAAAAAAAAAAGCATTACTATTTTGTAATAGTTTACTTATGTCTGACAAATTTAAATATCTTTCCTAGCAGCTGACACTGACAGAGATAAATCATTTACACAAGTAACGAGTGTGAAAACAGATAAAAACCACTTACCAATAATTTATTACATTGAAAAAAATTGTACCTGAACAGCTCTGATTAGGGCTAGGCACTATTACTTGATACTCGGTTCATACTTGCTACTTGACTCGGTTTGGTTTGAAAAAACAAGTATTTGGCATAAACAAGTCGAGTAACAAGTAAACAAATTTTATTACTCGTAAATACAAGTCAAGTATCAAGTCTATTTTTATTTTTAATTACTTGACTTGTTACTTGGTTTGTTACTTGATTCGTTACTTGTTATCAATTACCTGTTTCGTTATTTGTTATATAATACTTAGTTTATTCAATATTTGATATATACTTTATTAGTTAATTAAAAAAATTTATCTAATGTATTGTATTTCCATCACAACTAAAAAGGAATGGTGTGTTTAATATTAATACTGAATTTGAATTAAGTCCAAATAACTAGAAAAGAATATTTTGGTTTTTGTATATTGTCAATGTCTATGGGTATTTTGTCTTTAGCTTGTATGTAAAATACTTAATAACTGATGCTTAAAAGTTTGTATGTGTATATGAAATTGTGTTTTGGATTTCAAATATTTTATATTTAAATAGTTAAAGAAAATAGATTAAATAATTGAGAAGATAATATCAAACCAAGGCAAAAACAAAACAAAATCAAGTAAAAAAACAAACCAAGTAATCTGCAAGTATTCTAGAAATTTACAAGTACTTGATATCACAAATACTTGTTAAGAATAAGCCAAGTACAAGTCAAATACACAACTACTTAAATAAACCAAACCGGGTAGCAAGTACCACAAAAATGCCGGGTACTTGCCTTGTGCCCAGGCCTAGCTCTGATAACAGCGCCTCTAGCCAAGAAAAGAGTCATATGGCTAGTGAGACTGAAGCTCTCCGTTAGAAACACTCCCGGTGGTATGTACAGAACCGTGCCTCCTCTCCTCCTCAGATGCTGAATCCGATATATAGCTGCCCTAAAGGCCTTAGTGTTCACCGTCCTTCCGTCACCGACCCCTCCAAAATCAGTTATAGAGATCTTATCGTTCCGGTACCTTAAGGGAACTATCCCTGAACATGTCGCCTCCGAATAGCTATATACCGTAGAAAGAGCGGTGAGGAGAGAAGCAGCGAGGCATGGGAGGAAGACAACTGATATGGAGAGTCGCCACATTTTTGTTTGTTGTCGCAGAGGTTTCTTTGGGAGGAGAGAAAATAATATTTGGAGAAATTGGTGGAATTGTCCCTAAATACACCTCATATTTGCCATCTAACCTTTCAAAATAGAAATTATTTTGTCTGACCATTATACCCCTATCTCATTCTCTCTCTTTTCTCTTCCATATCTTCTAATCTCTTTATCTATCACACATGACATATTTATGCTTTCATTTTTTCATCATAAATCTCTATTTTTTACTCTGATTCTTTTGACACCCATATTGCTAATGTTATTATCTCACACTAATTCTATTATTTCTAATTTCAAATCTTGAAATATACATTCTTTTATTTGGATAATATGTAAGTTAGCAGCTATTTCATTATTTACCCGTTATTATTATATTTTAATGAATTTGTAACCGATANAAATTTTGTCAATTTGCTAACAATTTTTATATCATGTTAAAATTGATAAATATCTCTTAGTGTTCAGTTAACATAATGTGTATCCGTTAAATCTAGAGTTACATGTTTTCGATAAAGTAAGAGGGCATTTTCGTCCGCACAGTGTCAAAAGGTTACTCCTTTTTGGATTATCCATAACCATGGACATTCCGCCAATTTGGATCTTCGTTGGGTACATTACACCAATTGTCTCTAATATTTGAAGGATTGTTTGTTTCCTTGTAATTGCATTATTTACTCTATTAAGCGCGCAGTTTATAAGGAAAAAGCGAAAGTAAAAAAGTTACTGACCTGTTTCAAAAAAAAAAAAAAAAAAAATTACTGACCACCGTTGAATGGAGAGAGCACGTGCCACCACGCGTGCGTAGGCTAGAGTAGTTTGGACTCGGATCTCAGATTATATAAGTTCTACTTATTGCAATCTGCTGTTTCTTAAGTATTTTATGAGCAAGGGACAACGTTAAATAGGAGGAAATCATACATATGTTAGCGAGCCACTAGGCCTAGACACATTTATCCCAAATCTAAGAACCGAACTAAACCAAAAAATAAAAAATAAGATTCGGATCAGATTTGGATCCTATCAGTTATACTAATAGATCATATATTTCTAGAACCAAAAACTTAATATTGAACTGGAATCGAACCGCGAATAGAATAAATACCCAACTTTTATAACATAGTTTATATATTTATAAATAATTATCTATATTTAATTTTAAAAATAATCAAATAATTTTGAAATATTATTTATAAATCGAAATATTAAAAAATTTGAATTACTAGAATACCTTTTTATCTAAAATATATAAAATTCTTTGAATAATCCAACTTTTTATCTGATAATCTGATTTTTTTGATATTTAATCTGAAAAACCCAATTTTTTTTACTTTTAAATCTATACTATTAAAGTTAAAGTACAAAAAATTAAGTGTTTGGAAACATGAATATGAAATATTTAAAATTATAGTGATTGGAAACAATGATAGCTTACAAACCTAATGGACTTTATTTATTAAACTAAAGATTAATGTGGTCCAAAATATCATTATTATTGATTTTGGGTTTTCTATCATTAATATTACTTTATTTCTGAAAATTATTTTTACATATATATACTCGTGTTTTAAATTTATTTAGAATAAATCAAGAATAATATATATTTTATTTATATAATTTATATTGACTATTGTTATAAGTTTTTAACAGTGATATACTTGCTTTCTAATTCTTCATTGAAAANTATCATTATTATTGATTTTGGGTTTTCTATCATTAATATTACTTTATTTCTGAAAATTATTTTTACATATATATACTCGTGTTTTAAATTTATTTAGAATAAATCAAGAATAATATATATTTTATTTATATAATTTATATTGACTATTGTTATAAGTTTTTAACAGTGATATACTTGCTTTCTAATTCTTCATTGAAAAATTAACTTAAAAATTTGACTAAATTGTTTCGTGTATATAACTTTGTACCAAATTTAGCAAAAAAAAAAATCTTATAAACTATTACTAAAATATTAACGGGTCACAATATTATACCAACGCCCCTGTTACACAATACAATGATGAAATACAATATTTAAACAGTATACTATTATTTAGTAAAATTGGAACCATTAGATTGTACTTTTTGAAATGTTTATATATACCATAAAAATAAAAACCCGCCCAGACGGGCGGGTTATGATCTAGTTTGAATTAACTAAAAAGCTGAAAATGAACCGAATGGGATCCGAAACTACTATGATATAAGCTGATACCTAAACCCAACTAAAAGCTGAACTAAACTTTTCAAATACCGGAACAAATCCTAAACCGAACCGGGACGGAAAAGCCAAGGTCTACGAGCCAATATGGGCTACAATATTTCATCTGGGCCAGGGTTCGTGTAAATTTAGGCCCAATATGGATCTTCAATAAACAAAAATTGCAGTAGTCGTCGGAGACCTAGAATTTCCCAAGTCAGATCAGATCAGAAATTTTCAACGATGGAGACGGCGAGTCCGTTAGTTCGTTTATGCTTAGATGAAGCTTGCAAGAGCAAAGATGCGGTTGCTCGATGGCGTCTTCAGCGTCGTAGCCTCGAGCGCCTGCCTTCTCACCTCGCCGATGCTCTTCTCCGTCAACTCCTCCTCCGCCGTCTTCTCTTCCCTTCGCTACTCGAGTAAAAACTCTTATCCCTTCTTTTCCAGATTCCGATGACGTTTCTCGAGTCGAAACGGTGTAGAATTAGCATGGATTTGATATTCGCTTGGTTCGATCTATAAAACGGTGATTAGTTATGTGTTTAGATTCGAGATATTGAACGATCGCTTCGGATCTTAGATTTTACTTGAGATTTCGTTGATTTTTGCTTGGAATTAGCATGAATCTGATATTTGCTTGGTTCGAGCTATAAAACGGTGATTAGTTATATGCTTAGGTTCGAGATATTGAACCATCGCTTCGGATCTTAGTGGTTTCTGGAGATTTCGTTGATTTTTGCTTCGAGTTAGCATGAATCTGATATTCGCTTGGTTCGATCTATAGAACGGTGATAGTTATAGGCTTAGATTTGTGAGGTTGATGTGTGTTTGCTGGAGATTTGTTGATTGTTGCTTGGAATTAGCATGACTTTGATACCGTTTGATGATATATATATGTGTGTGTGTTTGCATCGATCTCTATCGAATCTAAACAAGAGACGCTTTTCTCTCTGCAGAGTATTCAAACATTCTGTAGAGAACATAGATCTCCGAGGAGAAAGCTCCGTCAACGGAGAATGGATGGCGTATATTGGAGCCTTTGTTAATCTCTTCTCTCTAAATCTTTCAGATTGTCCAAGAATCAATAACTCCACTATCTGGCCTATCACAGGTATTATATGATCCTCTTCTGAATCTGTGATCGAAGCTTATGATGATTAGAAAATGTGTATGATGTTGGATTTTTTTTTCCAGGATTGACATGTTTGAAGGAGTTGGATCTTTCAAGATGCTCAAAGGTTACAGATGCTGGTGTAAAGCATCTCCAGTCTGTTGTGAATTTGGAAAAGTTGTGGATTTCGCAGACGGGTGTTAAGGAAGCTGGAATATCTCTTCTTGCTTCACTCAAGAAATTGTCTCTTCTTGATTTGGGTGGCTTACCTGTAACTGATGACAACTTGAGCTCCCTCCAGGTACCAAGGTTTTATAAGTTGATTGATTGATGTATCATGTATTTGATTGAATTGTGACGAAATTTCAATTCTACCACAAGTTTGGTACCATTTTTCAAATTTACCATTAGTGAATGACTATTTTTACAAATACCCTAAATTTGTGATAAAATAACACTAAGCTAATTTTTTAAATATTTGTAGAACATATTTAAACTCAACCCCAACCCCGTAATACTAAACCCTAAACCCTAAACAATAATCACTAAAGTCTAAATCCAAATGTTAGTATATTTTTTGATTGGTGGTATTTTTGAAAAGTGGTACTTGTGGTATATCTAACAATTTCTCTTGAATTGTGTAGTTTAGTATTCATTATCGATTTAGTTGGTGTAAGAACTCTGCTAAGATTGCAATGTTCTAGGTTATATGTTATGTACAGAATATTATGTGCATAGAAACTAGTACCCATGTATTGTATGAACATCCATGCGTGTAAAGAGCATTATACAATTTTTTTTGTCAGCTGCCCGAGCATTATACATTTATGTTTTAAGTCATTACAGTTAAGTTTTTCTCATGGCCAATTCTTTTTGCTCCTCAGGTACTGACGAAGCTAGAGTACCTTGACATCTGGGGAAGCAATGTAACCAACCAAGGAGCTGTCACTATTCTCAAATTTCCAAACTTGAGCTTTCTTAATCTCTCATGGACCAACGTCACACATGCTCCAAACATTCCAAATCTTGAATGCTTACTCATGAACAAGTGTACCGTTGTATCCATGTCAAACACTCACAGCAGCTCCGTATTATCCTCCTTGAAAAGGCTCGTTTTATCCGGAGCCACCTTCAGTGCTGAAACCGAGGTCTTTTCTTCCTTCACCAGCAAAAGCTCTATAACCCACTTAGACGTTTCCAAGACTTCTATCCAAGATTTCAGCTTCTTAGAAACTATGACTAAGCTGGAGCTTCTTGATCTAAGTTCCACAGCTTTCGGGGATGATTCGGTTGAGTTTGTCTTATGCGTTGGTGATTCTCTCAGGAATCTCAATGTCTCGGATACAAAAATCACTTCCGCTGGGGTTGAAATTCTTTCCCAACATGTGCCGCAGCTCGAGACATTATCTCTGTCCCAGACATATACCGACGACCTGTCCATCTTGTGTATCAGCACCATGATGCCTTGCCTTAAAGCCCTTGACCTGAGCAGAACCAGCATCCGAGGTACGTATAAGCCTTCTATACTCTGTGCGAATGGATGATAAATATCAAAATCTAACTCCACTACTCTCTTTATTTCAGGATTTATCCAGCAACAGTCTCCACAAGAAGAAGAAGCAAAGCCGTCTTTAGCAGCACTAAAGTCTTTAACTGCCCTTAAAACCCTGA